ACGTTACCTTAAAAAACTGTCCTTGATGTATCATCCCACAGGATTGTACATGTATGTCAACTATGTATATCTTTTTAATGTAACATTGTGAATATTAATAAAGTTTTAAAAAAATTATTGGAAACATGCGCAAAATAAGGATAACTTACTATCTTACATGTAGGCAAAGCATCAACACATGAAACCACCATGCAGCCTACGAATAATGTACCAGAGGCATCTGTGGGAGGAAAAGTCACCCCGACACCAGCAAACCCTACGATCCATGAGAATGCTCTCACTCCTACATCAGAGAAAGTCGGACCAGATGGTTTGTCAACAATATGTCTTTAATGTTTGCCATCCTAGGACTAGGAATAAGAACTAGGAATACGCTGTAATTTCGAGCTGGGCAATTAATGAAACAAAACCATGTGTCTTAAGGACAATGCGTATGTTTACTAAGCAATTTATAAGTTATGGAGATGTCCTGGAAAATCAAGAAAGGGTCAAAAGATTGGGGTCTGTAATATCGACCCATTTCTTGTATATAGGACTAGTAAGGTAATTCATTTACCCAAAATTCATTTCATCTGCCCAAAACTTAGTGCTTTCAACAAGCTAGTGTCATATTTTGCCTTTATGGATTTTTGTTCATCTACAACAAAGAAAACTAGGAGTATCTAGCAGAATTAGAAGTACATGCACTAGCAACACATGTATATAGTTAATAACGGTAAGCTATATCATCATATCGACATGCAGGCAGAGAAACCACAGTTGCCGTTAATATGAATCCAACAAAGGAGAAACCTGAGAAAGACGTAGCGATGAGGTTCACCTCGAGACCGGCTAAAGTTCTGGACCATGTGAAAGCTGAGACTACTGCGTCAGAGGAATTTAGTACAGAAGGTAAACGTCCACTCAATCGTGTAACGTACAGCCATGTTCCTTACTCTGTAATGAGGGTTCTATCCGCTTATCCGTATGCAAAAATTTAGATTTGTGGAAAGAAGCAAAGGCACATCATTTCGTAACAGTCAAAACCCCCAATGACCTCACCAGACCACCTGTAACCGAGACACCATATCAAAGTATAGAAACCGAGAGACTGACCAGAGTTTTTTTTTTTAAATTTGTCCAGAGCTAATTAAACAATAATATCAGTTTTTGATTGTGATTGTCCTAAGTATTTTTATATACACAATTCACTCCACACTACACTATCAGCTTCTATTCCAGCATTTGAAATAAGCTTGAAAATGCATAATGAATTGTGACGACCCCTTCATGGGGTATACATTAAATGCTGTATAGATATTAGAAATGATTGTAAAACTCCATACTGTTAATGATTGTGCATCCTGACTACGTTGTTCCAGAAGTGACTGAGGGTATGATCACGAAACCCACCACAGCTCTTGATCCAGCGAATGCAATCGTTTCTGCATCAGAAAACGTTGGGCAAGAAGGTATGATAACACCTTTCAGACCGGGAACTCTGGGAGAGAAAAAAGGGGATCGGGGTTATGACCACAAAAATTTGGTATACAAAGAAATTTTATAAAGTTAGACTCTAGCACACTCAAACAAGGCTAAGAGCAACAAAAAGATAGAGTCGACTAAATCTGCTTATATTTTGTATGTAGGGTAGACAAGACTGTCAGATACTTGAAATGGTTTCCATAAGATCTGTTATATAATATCTTGGTGCTATAGATAAACTTTATATCATTCTGCATTGAATACTTATGATATCATAGAAAACAAACAGTTAAATTGTAAATTAACTTTTGAAAACAAGACCTTATTTTTTGTAACTCGCATAATTTGCATGTAATTATATTTATTTCTGTCTAAACTTCCTACATGTCCCAAATCATGAACATCCTCTGTTTTTAATTATACTTTCGTCTTCTCAACTTCTAAAGTTAACTCATGCTGACCAGAAATATAAAGAAACAAATAAAGAGTCATATAACAAATAAAGACATATGCTCACAGCGAAAATGGAAGACTTACTGAAAAACCATCAAGGCGCAAATATTCCCTTACAGAGTACAGACCGCCATTTTGCCATATTTCACATAGTCAAAATCAATACAAAAATTGATTTTTGTTAACATAATAAATGCTTAAACAAACTTTTTTTATGTAGTCTATTGGGTGTAGTAATAAATAGAAACAAAATAATTGAAAACTGACCATTTATCAAACCATCCCAAACAAATGGTTAGTACAAACTGGAAGAGTACACTTCCAAATAAGGGGACAAAATGCACCGATAGGCGGTAAAGACCATGAAAATTGTAACCCTTAAATGGAATGCACAACGTGTATCACAGATGACATTTAAGCCACCTAAATCAACAGTAAAAGAAATCATTAAAATCATAAACATTCCCTAATCAGGGCTACAGCTAATGGCATTCCGCAAATTTAACATATGTGATCTTGTTCCCGTCCTCTTTTGCAGATGTTGTTTCTCCTGACAACAGCTACGATTTGTACGATTGGTTTAACTATGAAGATACCGGTTCAGGTACGGCCATAGCGGTAGTACTGAGCGTAATTACAGCACAATATTTACTAACGGTGCATATACACAAACTTATGCTACTCAAGTTCAACGATTGTATTTCCAACAATAATACATCCATTTGTATTTATCTAACAGACACTAAGACAACGGTGTTAAGTTATGAGTTTGCCTAGGCTAGCAATTTAGACGTTCCAATGGAACCCAATGCCAATTTAGTCATGTAATATTTTTCCTCGCGGATCTACATTTTTGTTGACATAGTGCCATTACAAGTCTGCCTGTTAACTGATAAATGATTTCTTTTAACAGGAGAAAACTATGTGTATGAAACTGACGACTACTACATAAATGAAGAAAGAGGACTGCATGAGACCATTGAAGGTACTTTCCGGTATTTCTTTTGTTACAGCAATTATCAATTATCTATTACAGTATCAATTTCTTACAGTATCACATACTTCTAGCTTTATAATCGTGTCTGCTTGCCATCCCCTGCAAAACCGATCTATAAAATTAAAATGGCATTGTTAAAACCTCCTTTTTGCAGAGATCGAGGATGTAGGACTCGGGAGCTATGATATGTTTGGTAACCAGGCTTCTCAGCAACACTGACAAAAAAACACAAAAATCTAGATAGAATTTACTTTTAATTTACTGTATTTCACTCTTTCTTATTTATCTACCTACATATAGACGTTATTTCTCCTGAAATGGCGGAGGATGTAGTGTATGGTATTAAAGACTACTCGTACAAAGATGATACAAGCACAGAAGGTACTAGTATTTTTTTAATGACTTAACGTAGAGGACACTTCCAGATGTTGGATTCAAAAATACTTACTCTTGCTCTTTTTATTAAAGCCATAAACACTAGACTAGTTTAGACTCATGTCATGATTACATCTCAAGGTGATGTTTTGAATTTTACAAAAATGGTGTCAATCGACATGGGATATTGCTAACGACATGAACATAGGTATCGTCTGACGGATGACATAACCCATGACATTTGTGCCTAGTCGGTTCTATTGATTTCATGTTTGTAACAGGACAAAACAGCGTGTTCGAAAATGAAGATTACAAGGATGGAGAAAGTGGACTCGATGCGACTGTGGAAGGTAATGACCGGCATTGCTTCTACAACAAAACTTTGGTCTACAGACAGTGTTTACATTTTTTTATATTTCTTGTAGCAAAAGAAATTGGTGAGCACGGTACTAGATATAACATCTAAGTCAAAATGATTGTTGAGGTCTTGATAGGTATTGAGAAATACTGACCATGATTTACAGAAGGTACTAAAGGAATCTATAAAATGTTTCAAAACCGATCTATAAAATTAAAATGGCATAGTTAAAACCTCCTTTTTGCAGAGAGGATGTAGGACTCGGGAGCTATGATACGTTTGGTAACCAGGCTTCTTAGCAGCACTTTTTAGACAAAAAATCTAGATAGAATTTACTTTTATAATTTACCTTATTTCACTTTCTTATTTATCTACATACAGACGTTATTTCTCCTGAAATGGTGGAAGATGGAGTGTATAGTGTTAAAGACTACTCGTACAAAGATGATACAAGAACAGAAGGTACTAGTATTTTTATCTGAATGACTCAACGTAGAGGGCACTTTCAGATGTTGGATTCAAAAATATTTACTCTTACTCTTTAAGCCATTAACACTAGACTTGGGCAAAAAAGTTTTTGATTAAAGACACATCACGAAATTTTGTTTTAATAAGAAAACTCCAACTATCATAACTCACTATCTGTTGCAATACCAACTTAAATGCATTGTATAGTAATAATATTTCAACGCCTACATATAACTTGAACTAAATACACATTTGCATGTTTACAATTGAATTGCCGTCATTCTGGTATAAACAAAAACTAACAAATACAAAATTGAAGCCAGGTATTATGACTGCAAAAGTCATGTATAAAGATCAAAGTGACGGCTATGTCTGTTATATATCCTGGATAGACGAGGTACATTGTATGTAGTTGTTTCGGGTGTGTGTTAAAAAGAACATACAATGTACTCGTTTTAACAAATGAATTTAAAAAAAAAAACTTCAATGTAACTTGTCAGGCTCAACCTATTTCAAATTATTACAGTTATTCCCTTTCCATGTTGGCAGATGGCAGCTTTCTTGTAAAACATGGCGATAACAAGAGTGAAGACCACAACTATAAAGATGCGGGCTCAGGTAAGGCAATAAAAGATGTCATGCGTAATAAATAATCCTTACTGAAAGTATTAAATAATTTCTAATGACAAAACAAGAACAAGAGTTCAGAGATCTCATACCTTCGCCAAATGATGTTAACAGTTGACGGTTGACGAGTTATACAATTTCAATAATTGATTTCGCAACAAAGAGCCTCATTTGCATGTGCATGGATTTTACCAGCTGATCCTATTCTCCACCCAATGGCAGCCTTGTTTAAACGAAAAAGGCTATTTTAGCACTACCTCATTAATTAAGCAAATGAGGTCATGATTTGAATAAATTATGTTTATTGATGTTCACCTTCACTTAACTTCCAAATGCGGCAAGTATGAAATTCCCACCAGTTACAACTATGAAATTATACCTATTTCCCATTAATTCAGCAAATTAGGTCTTCATTCACATATTCTATATCCTCAGAGATTTTTCTCGTTCTTAAGGTATCGGACCGGAGTTTCTTTCCGCATTCGTAGCAAATTGACACCCAACGGGCTGTCATTTATGTTATAAACGCAGAATGAAACTTTTCACTCTTCTGGTTATAAGGGGTGCTGTGCCGCTTATCAATACAATTGATTGATATTTTGGGCGCCCAATTCATATAGGGGCGAGTAAGGCCTAGAGAAGTACATTTTAAGTAAGGGGTCCTTTTTTCGCCATTTTTAACCATGGCTGCATGGGAAAAACAAATTTTCCCACGGTAACGACTTAGTACTCGAAGAAGCTCAGTACCTAATGTTTCCGATGTCAGAATTTAATTAAAATTAATGCGATACGTTTACTGCTATCGTCGATGACCCAAACGCACCCACAACGCATATAGAACGAACCTTCCCGGGGATCAGGCGAAAAGGTCACATAAACATCTGCGCGGACGAATACCAGAAAGTCTTCGCTGGACCACCAACATCACGCCACCTATAAAGGATACAAGTAACAGGCTTTTCAGAAAATACAAAGATATGTACACAGATATTACAATATCAGGGATATCGCGGTAAAAACATACGAAACAAAGTCACGTTTCCGGCGATATACTGCGCACTTGCTCTGGTCAGATTTAAACTTCGACCCAGTACCTTAATTACATGTCACAATTGTTTCATAGTCCTATCATCGAACGAAGCAGATTTATAGAATTTCCTAATGTTTCTACAAATTATCTCCTGATATGCATAATTGTCAACTGATTATGTAAAGAGAATCCATCAACCGGTTCTTGAGTATTCCCCTTCGAAGATTATAAAAAAAAACGCCCCTGCAGTTCCAGAACAAGCTGCTAGGGAGCCCAAAATAATGTCACTTCTTCCCTAGCCCTGACTGATATGTTAGATGTCCACATTTTTATGTATTTATATGACATTGTATTACTATTATAATGTGTATAATTTAAATGTCGTTTTACATATTTTTTATTGATTTAATTTGGGGGAGGAGCTGGTAAAGGCGACCCATATGTTCTCCCTCCCCTTCCACGCATCAGCTGGAGAATTTTAATAAACGAATAAACAATGAATATCAAGTAACGCTGTCAATCGACATTGGATACCTCTAGCTTTATAGTCGATGAAGTGTCTGCTTGCTAAATTTTGTCTATTACATTTGAAAACCGATCTATAAAGAAAGTGGCGTAGATTAAACCTCCTATTCGCAGAGCGGATGTAGAACTCGCGTCGGGAGCTATGATATGCTTGGTAACCAGGCTACACATTCTAGATATAAATCCAGATACAATTTCCTTTTTAATTTACTACATTTCACTTTTTTGGTTTATCTACACACGCACATACAGACGTCATTTCTCCTGAAATGTTGGAAGATGGAGTGTATGGTACTAACGACTACACTTACAAAGTTAACGGGCTAGATACCAGCACAGATAGAAGGTACTAGCATTTTGCCATGCATGCGTAGAAAAACAACATTTATATCTGCATGACTCACTGTAGAGGACATTTCCATATTTTGGATTTAAAAAATGCTTACTCTTACTCTTCAAGCATAAACACAAGACTTGGGCAAAAAGGTTAAACACATCACGAAATTGTACTTAAATAAGAACAATAAGCCATAGGCAACAATCCTCCGTGAAGTTTTATATATTGCAACAAAAACAACCCAAGCGTCAACGCCAGACCTACTGTGCAGACATTAGGCAACAGTTTATACAATGAGGGCGCGTCACAACCATAAAACATAAAAGACCTAAATCCATTACTGCTCCCAGGGCGTGTAAAGATCGACCTTATATGGATGTTTCAAAAATAAACAGTTACTCCAATATCAAAACTGCTAGGGTAAAAATAAAGTCCATAGGCGACAATTTTCCGTGGCGTTTTATATTTTAGAGATTGAGAACAGTAATAGTGTATGTAAACAGTGTGTGATCACTTAACAAATGGTAACAACGTATAGTAGAATTAGCCTCATCCCTGGTCTAATAATCTAGCCTGACTAAAAAAATCGCGCTCCTGGTGGCCACCTGCCCAGAGGTTTGCCGCCCACTTGGGGAAACAGTTGCAAACTAGTCTAAACACAGGCTACATAAAATCAACAACACGACAATCTAAATAAATGAACAAAGTCTGCTTTCGTAACAATATCTTTCATTTACTACTGTACATATCATTCATTTGACAAGGTATCGCAGTAGGTGCAAACCACAATCCCAAAAGATACTCGCCACAACAGCACAATATGCACAACAGTCTCCTAATATCTGCTTAGAGAACCTCTGCTACCAGACAACTGCCTAAACCTACGGCCTATTCCACAGTATTGTAAAAGTAGGGATGTTTTTTAAAATATGCATTTACTTCAATATCAAAATTGCTACGATGAAAATAAAAAGACGTGCATCATCACGGACATAATGGTACACCACATGCCCAATTACACAGAAATGCTATGTACGAAGCAATGCGTTTTGGCTGCGAACATCTTCCAAAAACCTTCAGCATCTCTTAAGCACGCGGAAAAACATCTGGTACCACTTATCGGCTCCTCACCATATCTGCCTGAAGTTCCACCCACCCACCGCTATTCCAAACAACCGGTTTTTCTGGACCATTCCAATTTGCCTCACCATTGTAGGGGTGCATCTGCAATATAATATTGACCGCAAAAGCAGTAACGGCACAAATACACATCCGTGCATCATCACGGGCATGCCCGCAGACGACGTATAAAATTGCATGCCGTTTGCACAAAGAGAACGCAGTGTTTTGACTGCGAACACGAAAAAACGGCTCTTCACAACACTCCGTCTGGAGGTCCTGACCTCCTTCACGGAGTAAAAATCCAAATATCATAACTCACTATTCGTTGCAATTCCAACTCAAACGCATTGTGTAATAATACTAATATTTCAGCGCCTAACCTGAACTGCATCCACATTTGCATGTTTACAATTGCCGTCCTTCTAGTATGAAAAACAAGTAACGAATACAAAATTAAAGCTAGATATTATAACAGCAAAAGCCATTTATAAACAAATCAAAAGCGACGGGCATGTTTCTTATATATTCTGGATGGACGAGGTACATTCCATGTAGTTGTAATCAGTTTGACACATTTATTTCACATGTTTAACTTATTTCCTTTCCCTGTCAGCAGATGGTAGCTTCCTTGTAAAACATGGCGATAACAAGAGTGAAGAACACAACTATGAAGATGGGGGCTCAGGTAAGGCAATAAAAGATGTCATGCGTAATAAACATCCCTAATTGAAAGTATGATATAAATGCCTACATTGCAAGGCAAGAATAACGCTTACGTTTTGACACACATACGTGTACACACACACGCATACGCACACACATACGCGCGCGCACACACACGCACACACGCAAACGCACACACACACGCGCGCGCGCGTGCACACACACACACACACACATACATACACACAATAAATGTCAAGTTAATTTAGAATCATGTTAGGATAACCTCCCAAGATGATGTTTTGAATTTTATTAATAATGGTGTCAATTGACATTGAATATTGCTAATGACATAAAGATACGTATTGGTTGACGCCATCATCCCATGACACTTGCGCCTGGCCGTTTCTATTGACCTTTCTTTTGTAACAGGACAAAACGGCGTGTACGAAACTGAAGACTACAAAGATGGAGAAAAAGGACTGGATGCGATTGTTGAAGGTAATGACCGGCATTGTGTATTCTACCACAAAACATTGGTCTACCTGACTGTGTCTAAAGATGACATATTTCTTGCAGCAAAAGAAATTTGTAAGCACGATACTAGATATTACAACTAAGACAAAATAATGGATGAGGCCTAGATAGGTATTTGAAAAATACTGACCATGATTACAAAAAAAGGTACTTAACGAATCTATTTAAATCTCTAAAATAAAGTAAGGTTTCCTTTCAATGTGATTACATGCAGATTTTAAATTTTATATACTGAAAATTTTAAAGAATACGGCGCAACATGAAAATTACCTACGGATTAGTTTTAAATTACGGGGAACGTACCGTTAATATTACCTGACAAAGTTTTCTTCATATTATCCAAATAACTTCATATCGCTACTCTACAAATGGAAATGAATTTGACATACATATAGTACACAGTACATGTTTCGTTTTCGCACATAACTCACGAAGTCTTTTATCAAAATTAAATGTAAGAAAATGAAAAAAAAGAGAAAAGTAAGAAATCAATCAACCAATTCACGCAAACAGAAAATTATATTTCCCTAATTTGGAAGTCATAATCATATTTTTTTTTAATTTATGTCAAGTTATGTTTTTTTTTTAATGTCTTGACTTCTTGTCTTTAAATTTAACAAAGGTGTGCTTGAGACCATGGCTTCAAATCCAAATGAATCGACTGACGATCCAACTTTCAAGCGGGGTGTTTTAGATCGTCTCCCTTCACCGCTCAAACAGCTTTTGGACAAAGCAAAAGGTCTTCAGAAATATACGGCGAAAGCAGAAGGTGAGTATTTGAACAGAAGACCATAGAATTATATGAGAATAAAAACATTTGGGTTGGGAGGTAAGTTGAAAAACTATACTATGTAGAACGTTGAATACACTACCAACTGTTCAGACATTGCTCCAGATTTAGATATCTATTTTCCTACATGCAACCAGTTCAGTCATAACTCATGGTATTTTAACATGTACATGTAGCTGTAGCATATCTGAAAGACTTAGCGAAAGGCATAGGAAGGAAGGTCGCTGACAAGCTTGGCGACAGGATCGCGGCAGGTGTATCGGAAGACCATCAGGAGAAGGTGGTGAGCGGTCTGCAGGACTACCTGGGAAAACAAAGTGACAAGTTCGACGATGAGTACAAAGAACTGCTGAAGGACACCAGTGGGCTGGCAGCGGGTTTGAACCGGCCTGTGGAGGAGGTTAGCATGTGGTTAGGCATTATAATATTGCATTTTAAAACTTGAACTATTTACAAACAAACAAACAAACAAACAAACAAACACAAAATGTCCACTGCAATGACGTAGGAACCTTCCACGAGGTCCATTTTCGAAGTTAAACTTGGTCCTTTCAACAGAGGCTTGCCTTCCAAAAATAATGAACAGCTATTAACATATACTTGAGTTATACTGCTAACAAATGACAAACACAAAGTGTCCACTGCAGTGACGTAGGGATCCCCCTTAAAGCTGCATTATGTGTTTTTTTTCGCAAAAAATTCAAACATTCTGAAACTAACAAATCTTGGTTTTATCATCATTTACTATCACTTTTCAACACATTTGCGTCATTATGTTACGTTTCTGGCGTATTATGTTAGTGCAAAAACAGCCCGCTCGATGCGCGCTCAGTTCCTGGTGGCACCGAGTTGATGCCACCGCTGGAACCAAAACAAACAACCGTTTTCGGTCGGGAATGTTCGGTGAGTTCCGGCTGCGTGACGTCATGACTAGCTAGCCCTCTGAAACAAAATGGCGGGAATGGAGGGCGTTCGGGATCGCGTGAACCGTGGAGATAGAAGAAGTTTGCTGATCAGTTCCGCCAGGAAAAGGAAGGAGAAGGACAAGTTCCAAAATCGGGTGTTGTTGGGCGATATTTTTGTGGAGTGGCGGGACCTGAAATCTGCGCTCGGCGAAAACCGGCTGTCAGAATCGAATGTCCCGCGCCCGGGTGAAAGGTCACGTTAGACCACGTGACAAATCTCCGGGCTGGCTCGGGCAGACTCGGGATTCCTTGGACATGTTCGGAAGTCAATAAATATGGCGGACACCCGCTCGCATCGCAAAAATATCGTCTCGCCTCCATTAACTAAATGGTGCAGTGTAAGACGGTAGGGTTTATTCAACTAGCAATGTAAAAAAAGGCCAGAAAATCAATTTTTTTTTTGTTTTAAGGTTAGACGGCCAAAAAAGTACATAATGCAGCTTTAAAGCCCATTGTCGGACTTGACCTCGGCTCTTAAGCCGTAACCTGCCTTAGCAAAAGTCATGAACTTCGATCCATGCCTTCAACAGTTAAGCCGCTAAATCCACAGTCTCCCACACTGAAGCAAACTGAATGTATACCCTCCTGAAGAAGGCAACAAAATTAATATAGTCATGTTTAAAGTTACAACTTTTGGTCCAACACAAAAAAATTATCTCACCCAGAGCTTTCGACCAGTCACTCTGGTCTTCCTCAGTAAACTGACCCAGTACAGCTTGTCACGTACGTGGCTTCTTTGAAGTGTGACGTCAAGACTGGGTCAAAGGTATCTGGTAGATAATGTCGGCCCCCGTCGCGGTTCAATGAAGGGTGATGGGCCCTGATGTATATGGATTCCTTCACCCTTCTCAAGTCTTGTTCATTGTCCAAAATCCTTACAGTGTCAAGTGAAACAAAGTGTCCGGGCGACTCTTTGTGGATGTGTTGTGACACCTCCGAACTGGAAGAGCTAGACCGTGCATGTTCTTGGAACTTGGCTTTTAGATGTTTCCTCGATAAACGTTTCCTTGCAGGGCCCTTTGTCTACCAAATACCTTTGACACAGTGTTGACGTCACACTTCAAAGAAGCCACGTTACAAGCTTTACTGGGTCAGTCTACTGAGGAAGACCAGAGTAAATGGTAGAAAGCTCTAGGTGATTTTTTTGTGTTAGACAAAAGTTTTAATTTAAACATCTAACTACCAACACAGAGATGAACTTTCATGATAGTTAATATACTCATGTTTGTAGTAACTTTCAGCTTTCAGCTGCTATACACCGCCCCCCCCCTTAAAAAAAAACAAACAAATTAAAATGTAGTTTGATCACTGGTGGTTTTATTCGCTGGTTGTACCAACTGGCAAGGTTTTATCACACTATATATTCCGAGAACCCTAATGTATTCTCTCCTTATTATTATAGGCGGACATCCAACTTCTTCCTAGAGCAGGAGCCACGATGGGGAACATGTATGCCCCGCCAGGCTGGGAGATCCGACATAAGTACAAGTACAAGGAAGACAGGTTAGTAATGAAGACCATAGGTACAATTAATTTTTTTGTGTGTGTGCACTTCGAGTTTCTATGGGTACTTCAAGTTTCTATGAGTACTTAGATTTTCTATGGGTATATTTAGAGTTTCTATGAGTACTTCGAGTTTCTGTGAGCACTTAGAGTTTGTATGGAAACTTATGCCAGAATTTAATTTCATCTATTAACAAACGTTTTGAACATTGTTGGCAGAAAAAAACTTTTAAAAGGTAAAAAGTATATCATCTTTTGATAGCTTTAAATTTAATCAAAATTAAATTTAGTTGCCTGAAAGGTAAATAGGAATACTCAACTTGTAATGTATTGTCATGACCCACAGAAAACAGACACAGAAATGGAAGTACTCATAGAAACTTGAAGTACACATACAAACACTAAGTTCCCATACGAACACATAAGTTCCTTTACAAACTCTAAGTGCTTATAGAAACTCTAAGTACCCATAGAAACTCTAAGTACTCATAGAAACTCGAAGTACCCATAGAAACTCTAAGTACTCATAGAAACTCGAAGTACCCATAGAAACTCGAAGTACACACACGAGAAACAAAAATTGAACCTATCGTCTTTCGTAGGTTAGTACTCAATTTACGGCAGGAAAACATGGAGCAGATTCTGGTTATCGAGAATGTATAGGATCTCTCTAGGAACTGTTTAGAGTGTAATGTAGTGTCATCGAATAATTATGCAAGTAAATTTCTACACGATATACCAGACATGTGAGCTCTGGACCAATGTGTACACTTGCATTACAGTAACTTAAATTACTAGGCTAACAAACTTCCTCCCAAGTAAAAAAGAAACCACAATGAATTTTATTCGGAATATCTATTATCTTTCTATTTGTAAATTCGTGGGGATTCATTCCTCAGCTAACCGACATATTGCACTATTATCTCTATACTTAATAGAATATCACTCCTACACACTGACAGGGTCATTTACTGTGTGATATTCTTTGGCAGGAAGAAACATTTTCCTCGATGGTAAGTTGTTTTTTTTCTCCAGAAAAGTTTCCCTATTCATGGAACAGGAATTAAAACAGTGTGTAGGTAAGGATTACGACATTTTTTTTTTGCATTACAAGTGACAAGAGCAGCCCAGCTGGACAAGCAGCACCTTTCACATATCCAGTCGGACTAGGACCAGTTCTGATGAACGGCTGCTTCGGGACAGGCTATAAGAATGGAGACCCCTGCTATAAGGCCAAGATACCACTGCCAAGTTGCCCTGTGAGTTCAATATTACCTACCTTTTTTAGTATTAAAGAAGCCTTGGTTTAGCTTATTTCTTAATGCAGGTGTTATGGTAATTGCTGTTACATTGAGCCGATGCTTAAATAGTCACGCTTTAGGCAATTAACGGCATAAGATAAAGACCAAGATCTTTCCGAAATGACTAGTGTGATGACCCCTGACAAAAATACAGTGTTATTTAAGCGTTCTCCAAATTGAGGTTGTTTATTGAATGGTTATGTCAAACACTAGAAATGATATAGTTATGATTCATATAAAAGGTTCTGAGAACATGACTCATTTGCTGAATGTACTTTCGCATTCGCTTTGTTTCTGAGAAAACTTTCAGTTACAGCTGTAATTTTATTTAAACGGGATATCGACCATGCTCTTTTCTTATAACATCCTAATTAATGCATAATGTATTGCTCTTGTAGAGGCTAATAGATGGTGCGACCTACCTTGGCGTCGGTTTCGATGCGAGGGGTGTGTACTCGGCTGAGTCCCGAAAGAAGAGCCTGATCCAGAGATCATGCAACAACCTCCAAAAGTAAAAAAAAAAAGAAAGTTTTAACTAGACCATTAGGTTTTAGCATCTCAATATCGACACAATTCAAAATGAAGTTTTAAAACCCATTCGCATACCTAAGAAGTGTTTATTGATGAACAATTTATTGATGAACAGTTATGTATTATTTATAATCTACCAAGTATTGAGCATATTTATTTAGTTTATGAATAAGTTGCGATCATATTTCTCGTAAAATAAAAAAGATCGAAAGGTATACTATAGCGGAAAAAAGACAAAGATAAATATTTTTCTCTTGAAATGTTTGTTAGCATTTTATAAACTTTCTCAGTTTGTTTTTAAGTTAAAAAGTCAAAATCCAGTCACAAAATCCTATGGGCTTTGAAAGAGAAAGGTGATGTCTTTTTATTTCTTTTTCGTAACAGATTCGGCCAGAATCAAGTCCCAGATTCAATGACGGTACAAGGTATTTATGACACCGATGTGGAGTCCCGCACTTTCAGCTCAACTGAAGAATACAGGCACTACTTGGAGGAGAAATCTGCCGTCACTTCTGCCAAGGCCATGTTCCAGGAAGAAATCGACAAGGCTTCTGGACACGGAGTAGTAGGCCCACCGTTTGGACTAGTTGGGGCAATAGGAGGAGGGGAATCTAGCAAAAAAGGAAAGGTCAAAAATAAATCAAACTTCACTGCCAGCTCTTCTGCTACAGGCGAGCTGAATGAGAAGCAGGCACAAACATTTATGGCAATGCTTGAAATGAACATATTCAGGTAAATAGATAAAATCTTATTTAAAAGAATTGAATGTAGGTTCTAGAATAAAGTAAAAAGAAATACAAAAATGCCTATTAAAATTGTTAATCCCGTGTAGTTTAAGCCCATCGCATGGTAAATATTTTAATAAATCCAGGTTCAAATAATTTCTTTAAACCTTTGTTTTTGATGCAACTTAGCATTGCACTGCATTTGGATTTGGTTAAAATGGCTTTGTTATCACCCGGTAATATATATATATGTTTTTTTTAATACTCCCCAGGTATGAGATTTTCATGGACGACGTTAAGCCGGAACAGCTAAATGTGGGCTTCCTGCGAGATTTTATTTCACTGCCTGAATCCTACTTCTCCTTCGGTGCAGATATAATATTCCGTAGGTACACTCACTTAAACTACGGGGTCAAAAAAAGAAACTACAGCGCTCTTTCACCCCTCGTAGAAATAATGTTGTCCGGACAAAAATGTCAAAAAGGCATTTTTCAACTAAAGCTATTACTACATAATGGTAAAACAACGTCGTTTGTCCAAATGCACTTGACTTATTACAACAATTGACATTAATAAATACCCACAATTGCTAGAAGTTCTCTGCTTGCCATTGACTTAAAATGTATTGTTTCTTAATTTCAGAAAATTTCTACCTCCGCTGGGGAACACACTACATCAAGTCAGCCAAATTTGGAGGCCAGCTGAAGATCATCAAAACAAAGCAAGCTACACAGGACCTGTCGATGTCTGAATTCGCGACTAAAGCCGAGGATGACTGGAAGATGACTCTCAGCACCTTCTCAGCGCAGACGTCACAGACCAAGTCCAGTAGCTGGTGGCACGAGCACGAGTCGAAGACTGAGTCAAAACAGTCCAAAGTGGAGGCAGAGTCTGGTTCTGCAACAAAGGCTAGGAAAGGCCAGGAGAAACAAGCGTACGTGTTTTGTTTTTGCAGATAATTGAAACCATTTGATTTTTTTTTACATATATTGTCGTTACGTCGATAAGGATTATTATGACATTTATTGTTGTGGTGTCATCTTATTTGTTTTATATTAGGCCGCAGCAAGTAATGTTTACGGATGACTTTAGTGCGCGCATTAATTTTGGACCGATTTTGAACAATAAAAAATGAAATTTTGGTGGATTCTGAAGGTGTTTAACGTGCCGAAAATGGACAACAGAAGGCTACCTACATAATCCCGTCCTTGTACATTCTCACGGCATTATATTCGAATTATAAAATCAAGAGTGTAAGGTCCCAATTCCACTAGTATGGCAATTTCGACTTAGCGTGCTGTATCTTCGACCTGAAGTTGGTGCGCGGAAAGAGCACCGATAGATCGCCACGGTCACCATGTTTGGAATGTAAATTACTGTTTAGATTGTTGTATGCTCTTACGGAATCCTCTGTGCGCTCTTCTGGTGCTCTCTCTGCCCTCATTGTTGCATCGGCTAACAGGTGATTGTGAAAAAAAGCATTGCTGTTATCTAACTACATGCCCTAGGCCACTTTACATTATCGGTGCATTACACGGTACATGTTTGTACCAAATGACGATGATTATTTTCTTACGAACTACATTACAGGTCATCGCAAGAATACAGTAACGAGTGTCTGGTGGTTCAAGGCGGAGACCAGAAGATCGCCGCTGCCATCACGGAGATGTACACGACAGCCCTAACAACAGAGCTGAAGGACTGGTTAGAGTCCATTGAAGACAACCCTAAACCGTTTTCCTTTGTGTTGAGACCTGTTGCAGATATACTGAATATCCCATTCGACTTGCTCTTCCCTGCAGGAGAGGTGGACTATGGTTGCTTTGGTAGAAGGTAAGTTCTTGAAAGCAAATGGTAGATTTGTTTAAGATGGTTAGAGTTGGAGTATAATAATGCTTTAGATAAATCTATGCATGTAGATACATTTTAGAAATCCCAACGTTTTAAAGATTATCCTATGCCTTTCATCAGTGAAATAAATAGAAACAGTCGTATTTATTTAAAGACACCAGATAATAGATTAAAAATAATTTCTAAAAACATTATTATGTGACACAAAATAGGCATTACACAGCTAGTAAGTGGTAAAGATTGTGCATATTAATTTTTATCTTGTTCTCTTCATATTCCGTTGATTAGAAATCTGACTATAGAAAAGGGAACGGGCAGGAAATACTACACACAAAAGACCACGAAGCCAAATGTTGGTCACACGGCAGCCGATAATGGTACTGAGGCTGTAATGATCTCTGAGATACGTTATTGTGACTTCGCTGACCGGAAAGATCTCAAAGACAGCATGAACAAGAAAAGACTAGCCCTGGAACGTGCTGTGACGGTGTACCTTGAAGAGGTAGAGGCACATTTGTGGTACTAAATTGAAAAAAAATACCTACTCAATTTTAGTTGTTTTTTTTTCCTTTTTAACCCTAAACAGTACACCTGGGGTCCGCGCGGACCCCAGCACTATATATTTTGTAATTTTTTTTTTTGTTTCTAAAGATTTTTTTTCTGAAATTTAAGGTAATTGTCACCCACAAAGTTGTCCCTCAATACAGTGCCGTTTCTACCTTTTATAAAAAAAAAATTATATCTGATTTTCTTTTGGGGTCCGCGCGGACCCCAGCCGGCTTTCGATCATAATGGATACACTGGCGTTCTTATACATTACCTTATTTCCGTTTTTATATGTTTTTATGCACTCATCGTATGTCTACCATGTTTTCAGAGAATGATGTAGTGATAGAATTAAATTCTAATAACTTTGGTGTAATTATGACGTCATATGACGTCAGAGCTAATAATATAGTCTGCCATATTGGATTTTGAGCAATGACGTCATCAAATTAGCATATTATATGCATATGAAATGATTTAACTTATATTGAATTATGTAAGATGTTATTAATATTGGAAAAGAAGTGTAATTTAATATAAAACTCAGAACATTTTTATGTTTAAACCAAAATTACTTCTATTTTCAAATAAACTGCCTGCTAGAAACCCGTTGCCATGGCAACACAAAAAAACATCAACTTACTAGTATTAAACTAATATGAACTTTTTTCCAGAGACATTTTAGGAAAGGTCTGCAAATTTAATACTTCTAGCGCAAGCCGTTTTGCCGCTATCTGAGATCAAAGTCGGGCCTCAAAAGCCCCTTCAGTCTGAAATGGGTTTAAAATCGGGTATTTCTTCTTGTCTTCTTTTCTTCACCAGAAAATAGAAAAAGTTCAAAATGTATGATTTTTGTATGTAATGTGGACACAGAGGTTCCCACATCAGTTTGCAAAACAATTGAGCTGGTAGCATGTTGATAATTTTTAAAAATTAGCAAAAAACTGTTCTGGGGTCCGCGCGGACCCCAGGTGTACAGATTAATCAGTCCGGGAAGGTGTACTGTTGAGTGTTAAATGAGTACAGTCCTATCGCAGTACGCATGTTTAAATGGATTTGGAATGATTCTTCCTTGTAGTTAACAGTGCTTTGGAATTATGATTATCATAATATGATTATGATATATCAGTATGTGGTTACATACTATATTGGTAAAGCTAACTCATAATGTATGGTGTTACATTTAGGGTCGTCTCCTGAGTTCAAACTTCCTCCTGCCCGCTGGAGAGGCAGGCTGTGAAACCGCTATGTTGACGTACCTGCAGGGAGACAACAAAGGCGTGCCTACGTGGAAGGAAATGATAGGTGGAAAGGAGTTTATGGTCATTTTTGACATGCCGTACGACATCCTTGCCATCATTAAAGCACGGGACGTGCTGCAACTCAAGTTCTCTCGTCACATGTGGGTCTCAACAAGGGGAGCTGCCATCCCTCATTTATATGACAGCTACGACAACGGAGGAAGTAACGACGTCAATAATAAGAAGGTTCCTAAAATTTGTTGTATATGGATTAGTTGTATTTCAGAATGCTTTGTCCATTTAAATCAATTATATATTGCATGCCATGATGCAAAATGACGTAAAATTTATTATGTGGAAAATAACAAAATTTGCATTCTATGTAACAGTAACTATGTAAAGGGTGAAGCACAGAATGTTCGTTATACAATGGCATCCGGAAATCCTTTATCAGCTCCTTACAGTTAAAAAAGAAATATACATACTTGCCGAAAATAGATTTGTTCAAACATATCCTGTAGATAGAGACGTAGCACATGCACACAAAAATGAACAATTGCTTCTTCTATTCTTGTTACCAAGTTATCTAACTTAGTGCATTTGGCCCGTGTAGGGTGTGGATATGCGATAACGTTCATTGTCATTGACATTGGTAAATTTGCAGGTCAGCGTCCAGGGCCTTGTTATGACGTATAATGAGAAGACCGGTGTCTTCACGGTCACCAATGACGACTACAAAGCCTCGGCTTCCATTCTCCCCGACATACCAAATTGGATCAAATGTCGTAAAATTGCCAGAGCTGAGTACAAAAAGCTGCTCAACCACCTGGGCCAGAAAACGTGAGTAGTCTTAAAGAATTATTGTCATCATCAATCGTCACTTCACATAGCACGAAAACTGTAAATTCCATAATGACGTTTTTATTTTTTAGATCAACACAATAACGAGTTCAGGCTTACCTCAAATTTCTTGATGCCCTTCCGGCTCAAGCCACTTGTCCTATGACCACGTGCTGAGGTAATCGAACCATTACTCATAAAGAAGATTGCCATAAGAGCAACTGAAATTTTAGGCTCGCTGTCCTTGCTATGTGGTTCTTAAAATTAAGTGTGGACACTTCTTTATGGGTTGCTTTAAGTCTCGGTCACAATCCGCCGTACGCGCAAATGCGTCCGGTCTACGTGGAAAAACGTGGGCAAATTTTTTGGATCCGTAACTGGTGAGTACCGCCTCCATATTGAACCCGACGGGTTTGGGAGCACGAAGACACGCCGTGGCACTTGAAGTGCATGTGAAATCTTCTCTGCGTGCGGGTTGCGGATTCAACCGCGCAGAGATCGTACGTTGTAAGCACGTGCAACTCACTTACCATTGCGAAACGTCCGATGCACGCAACCGCTAATGGCCATATGTGGCGTGCAGAACAAATACTACATCTGGCGCAACCGTGCGAGTGACGTGCGTTACATAACTAATGAGAAAATTCGACCATATCAGTGTATTGCAAGCATCTTCTGTCCTGCATAAAAGTGGGCAAGACTTGTCTTTCGACCCTGGAGCTAGGATTACGCCACACTCAATTTAATTTTGATTAAAAATCTATTTATACATGTGTTCAACTTGGTATGTATATCATAGAATATGTATTCCTTATTATAAATGCATAGAAACGAAAACTTACTGAGAGCTTACTTTCTTGCAGTGACACAATGGGAGATGTTCCGTGCGTTATACAATGGTCCAACGCGCATCGTCTTAATCCCACTGGTGAAGGAAACTGCATCCACTTCACTGCAGCCACTGAGGGTGACATCTTTGTTGTGTTTGCAAGTATTCCGCAGAACTATGAAACGTGGGTGTACTTACAAATCTCACCAGAGGGAGTAGCATTGTACAAGGTTAGTTTGTATACCTTTACCGCACATTTGTTACCATACTTGATTGAAATGAAATGAGCATATGGCCTTTTAATTATCTTATTCCTTTAGGAACGCTATTTCTTTCTTCTAAATTAGTTACCCATTTAATATTGACGCCTAAGTATGACACCCTTATCTGTTTAGGAAATATTGAGGGTTTTTGTTGGCTTCTGATTTCAATTCTTTTAACTTTTTAGGTCTATATAATTTTTTTTAGTTTCTAGATTATTAGGAAACTAAGTGCAAGTAATATTAATAACTAATATTTTATGGTAATATACGTATGTATTCGTATATTTTTAGGCAATGCGGCTACAAACCACCCAGCTGAATGACAACGCCGGCGGTCTGGGTTCGGCAACCCTGTACCAGTCGTACTTTGTCTGTGTGACTGAAGATGAAAATGAGAAAACCACAGTCATCCAATATGGCAAAATGCCAGACAATGAGGTACGGCTGTCTATAGATGTATGTTATTAGCAATGTGTTGCTTTCACAAAGTTGAAAAAGGTATCGGTTCAATGACGATACAACAAGACAAGCAAATAATCATCTTACATCAGCATGAAAGTTCATCTGAGTTGGTAAATTACATTATGAAAAAACTTGAACTGTTCTCCAACTCAAAATTTGACTCACCAGAAATTTTCGACTGAATCACTCAGTCTTCCTCAGCTATCTACCCAAATGCTGTGGACACGTGATTTTTCCCACGTGTGACGTCAGCAAAGGGTCAAAGGTTGTCTGAAGTCGATATCGCCCCCCGTCCCGGTTGAGCGATGGTTGAAGAGGGGGTCAGAATCTTGGATATAGAACAGGATTACTTCAAGAGAGGCATAAAAGAGGCCATATACATCAGGGCACTTCAACCATCGCTCAACCGGGACGGGGGGCGATATCGACCTCAGACAACCTTTGACCCTTTGCTGACGTCACACGTGGGAAAAATCACGTGTTCACAGCATTTGGGTCAGATAGCTGAGGAAGACTGAGTGATTCAGTCGAAAATTTCTGGTGAGTCAAATTTTGAGTTGGAGAACAGTTTAAGTTTTTTCATAAATAATAATTTTTCATTATTTCAGAACCGTTGAGGTAATAGTATAATTATTGTTTTTTTAACACAAGTACGTGTGCTGCGTTCCTGAATATCTCGCAGCGTCCCCTTGACTAAAAGATGAACACATGAATGAAACATATTTACAACATTTAATGGATTGCTATTACGTCAGTAAATTGTCAAAAGTTTCACTTTATATGTTAATGCAAGAAACGGTAACGAATGCAGATAATTATCTGTTGTCTCTAAAACGGAATGATAGGAGCGACCGCATGTGTGGCTGAGCTTCACTTTCCATGAGTTGGCGTACCTTCAATACTATTCCTTTGGCAACGGGGGTTCCCCTGTCAAAGTGATGGGGCTGTCACTTATGGATAAGCCGGCCAAGGACTTCATCATCTGCCGAGAAGGGACGGAGATGATCAACGGGGTCTGCCGGCAAAAATGTCACCCAGAGTGTAAAGGTATGTATTATTTGTTTATCTTTGGTCATAATTTTGCCGAAAGCATTATTACTGTATGTTTATAATACTAAGCTTGCGCTGCCCTGAAAATCGTTAGGAAATGCTCCATGTTCTCAAATACCATTGGCAAAAAATTGAGATTCTGTTCGTTTTCCTTGTAGAAAAACAAATCAATCGTTCGCGGGCATCAGGTTCTGATGCATGGCGGCTGGATACATGTACATGCACAGTTCCGCTAAGTTGTTCTGTTTTCGGCATAGACCCCCAGGCAATTTTGGTGACCCACAGTTGATTAGTTGCTTAGAATTCAAAAGGTTTCTTTTTTTTTAGAAATTCACCATCATTATATTATCATAACACTACATAAAATGTAATTGCTTTGGTAGGTATTACAAAAAAATATCTTAAAGTTTTACAGCCTGTTTTTCTCCTTTTTTCTGCACAGGATGCCGCACAAGTGGATCCAACTCACCAACTGACTGCATCGCCTGTAGACACCTGAAGGTGTACAAAAGTGGGGAAATTGGCCCATTTGAGTGCCTTGCACAGTGTCCACAACATATGAAGGCTGTCACTGCTACTAAAACGTGCACATGTGAGTGTACAGATTGACTAAATAAATAGCTAATGATATAGAAATATACTGGAAGGGTGTCATTTGCAATTTTGCTTAATAGTTCGAAATATAGAGTGATGCGATTCAGCATTTCAATCAATATAAAGCAATAGATATCGGGTGAAAAGACAGAAACGCCTACTTGTTTTTAAAAACTTTAATTCACCCTATGTTTTACTTCCCATCCAGTTTTTACTTGCTATACCAACCCGTTTAGTGTTTTTCTAGTACTTTGTTGTGTGAGGTCCTAGAAGGTAGCCTTCCCACCACCAGAGACAGCCGAAGACAACTGAATCTCCGCCTACGGAACGATACACATCTGCATGTTCCTTACTGTAGAACAAACACCTACGGAAGCAGCTTCGTTCCATATACCACACGTCTATGGAACAATCTTCCGAAGGAAGTGAAGGAAGCCACATCTCTCCTCCAGTTCAAACAGAGGTGTAGAGCCCACATGTTGTCATCCCGTCACCACCAGGGGTACCGTAGGCTCGGTGACCGCCGCAGCAACATACTTGCCACGAGACTCCGCATCGGCTGGTGCCAGCTTAACTCCACGCTGGCCAAGTTTAACCTTACCGGCCGGGGATGTGCCTGTGGTGCAACCTCGGAGACAGTCACACATTTCCTCCTGCACTGCCCACTGCACGCAGCGGCACGACAAGACCTTGCCACTGCTGTGTACCGCCTCGTGAGACGGCCCCTCTCCACCAGTGTTCTACTCAACGGGTCCCCGGGCAATGACATCACATTAAACGAAAGCCTCTCACACTCCTTCCACACTTACATCACTTCAACAAACCGTTTCTAGGCACTTCCAGCTGTTCCTTTCTAACCTTGTTATTTAGTATCCTTTTTTTTCTCATATAAGGTAGTCTGACCGTGACTTATTTTATCGACCTCTGACCTCCAAATGTGTTATTTTAGATGTGTACATATATTTACTCGGCTAATTGGAATGATATAGGTTCTTATGATCATTTTTTTTGTAATTTCACACTGTTGATATTATGTGCCCTATATGTTTTGTCCTTATGTGTTGACTCTCTAACATCAGCTTTGCTGCCTTGAGAGTCAGTGTAATGTCTTGTTGCATTTTCAATAAATAAAAAAAAAATAAGGTAGCCTTGTTTCGTAGTGAAGAAGGAAGGGTCAGCACTACGATTGGGAAGGTATAGGAAGAAGGTGGAGAATGAGCGGCCTGTTAGAAATATGTGTATGTCTGTCTTGTTTATTTTGTCGGTTAATGTTTTGTTAGAGCGAGTGGTAGAAAGTTGTCATGGGTCTAGGCGATATATTGAAGTTTCATGCGACACATAAAAAGAAAATGGTTATCAAAAAAACGAATTTTTGCGAAATAAAACATGAGGGAATTCCAAACTTAAAATACTACTAATTACTTTTTGTGGGTTGAAATATTTATTGTGTTTTTACCTGTTTTGAAAGGTATTAAGAAGATGGAGGAAGCCCGTCCCGACGGTACTGTGGACTGTGTGACGGAGTGCCCTCTGACCCACTTTGATGACAAAAACGTGTGCAAACGTATGTGAAAAAATTTGTCCTCGCACCGCACTCACTATTTCATCCAAAATATTTCCTTTGGTTCGATCGTACTTCAGAACTTGAGTCTTATTTTAGGTATATTCTATATAGCCTAGGTATATATTACAGGTCACAGTATCCTAGCTACTAGACATTCAACAAAGAAAATTATAGGAGCATTCTGGGTGATAGGGCATTGTAATTCCTAGAGCAATAAACTGTTATAATTGAATCAGGTTCCTTTATCAATTTAATCCTAAGTTTAGGCCTAAACACAGAATGAACTTTTAAATTTCTGAAATCTTCATGAAGACTTTTTAACTGACGTTATTTGTAAAATCATGCCTCTTCTAGCCCTTGGTGTGCCCATTAGTCGAGTTTTTGTATGTGAAGTCAACCAACCAGTCAAATCGATAGCAATGTTAATTTGGTTTTCATAAAGATATAGCAATGATTAGATGAATTTTATAGTTTCGTAAGTTCTTCAAGTTAACTGTTAAAAAATGAAATATCTCCTATTACAAACAGAATGCAGCAGCTTTTGTAAAGACTTGAGTGCATGGAAAAAGAGGGTCTGCTCTGGTCCCGCTTCAACAGACTGTGACACATGCAAGTATCAACATGAGGGTCGCTGTGTGAAAGGGTGCAGACCTGGGCAGAAAGCTGTGAAGGCCGGAGGTTTGAAATGCTTGTTGTTCCGCTAAAACAGGCATCCTCGTCGTTACGCCATACACACTATGCGTTTTTTTTTCATATAAAACGTTCAAATGTAGCACGGAGTCGCGAATTGAAACTTCTATGGCCCGGGATCTTCTATGGTATACTATCCCTTTATTTCGGCCAATTTTTAGTATTTTTTCCAATGATTGAATATAAAATGAACATATATAACCGTTTGCATTTCTTTTGAGGCTGTATCCTGAACAAATAGGATTTTCCAAAATTAAAGACAATAAAAGATCGACATCTTAAATATGCATTTCGCAGAAAATGACCATATTTCCACGCAACAGAAGTCTTAGTAGACCTTGATATTTTACCATTGTCATTGGCACTGCCTTAAAAAGCCCCCATCCCCACCCCTTCCGGTCGTAGCATGACCAAAAAAGCCCGTTCTAAATAGGGTTAAACTAGTCATCTTGTTGGTGAACGCTGTTTAGTTATGTTGTAGTAGTTGACGTTACACTTTACAATAACATCTGTACCTCCAGTACCAGTAAGCGGTTACCTCCAGTCGTACAGACCTACGGCACTTGAAATACAATTTTGATGATGACCTTCCTTCTCTCTTTATAGGTACATGTCCACAAGGCTACACAAGGTACCAGCGAAGCTGCTTCAAGGTCTTCGGAAATCGTAAAAACTACTACGGGGCCAAGCGAGTTTGCCAGACAGATGGTGGATCTCTGGCTATGCCTAAGGACAGTTCCACCAACAGTTTCCTACTCAACCTGGGAAATAAGATCCGGGGTGGCCCTTTTTTCATCGGGCTCAGCGATCAAAACGCAGAAGGGCAATGGCGCTTTGCTGATAACACGCCTTTAGGTAATTTTAACATACATTACTAATGTCATTACTTTTTGCCAGAGTCAATGAAACATTATAGGCTCGATTAAAGTGAAAACTACATGAGTGGGAACAATTATTTGAATATAAAAAATGTGTAATTAGTTTTGAAGCTTCATATTAAAGTAAATATGGTAAACGACATAGTTCTTAAAATTCTTTCTTTTGCATTAAAAATGTAAACATATTGTTACAGGTAGTTTCACAAACTGGGATCCAGGTGAACCCAACGACTCGCATGTATCAGGTGAGGACTGTGGGGAGTTGAAATCGACAGGGAAGTGGAACGATGTGAAGTGCCACTCGGAAATCCAATACATTTGTGAAGTCAGCCTTACAGCTAGTCACCGTAAGTAGCTTACTACTTACTTATATTCTCTTCAATGCCATCAAAATGAGCGTTATCTTGTATGAGATGGAACGAAGTGCAGTATGAGTCCAAACCTTTAAGTTATCTTTACAAGTTTGATTCATTACATCCGTCAAGTAAAACTATTTCACCACGTAACGAAAAGTACACAATTATGTATCCACTCCGTTGTTTACGCTAGTCATTTTGAAATGTAAATGATGCTTACACATTTAAAACTGTCGTTTCAATTTCGAATCAGAAATGGGGGGCTTCATCTGCCACCAATGTCGTCCCGGCTATGAGTGTAAGCTGGGGGACGAGCGGGAAGTCATCTGTCCAGCGGGAACGGCCAGCAACGGCGATAGGACAATGTGCGTGCCGTGTGCTGCCGGAAAATACAGCAGTACAGCTGCGTCCTCGAGATGTTTGACCTGTCCTGCCGGGCAATACAGCAGGACAAAGGCGTCAACGAATTGTAGGGCCTGTCCTTCCGGACTGGTCAGTCGACCACAGTCGTCTAAATGTAAGTACGTTATCTGGTAAGGCGTCTGTATTTTTTCAATGTGCGACAAATTATCAATACCCAGTCTACTATACAAATTCCCAGAAAACAACGGTGACAAATATTCCGCTGGATTAAGCTTTTTTTTTGTATTTGGGAATATAGGTAAATGTAGCAAGTTAATGCATGAATTAGATCTCCAACATTTGTGTTTTTTTCTACCAAGGTACATGTAAATCAGGGTACACAAAGTTCAAGCGAAGCTGCTTCAAGGCGTTTCGAGATACCAGAAGTTACCATTCGGCCGAGAGAATCTGCCGGGCGGAGGGTGGATACCTGGCAATGCCTAAAGACAGCGCCACCAACGCGCAACTAGTCCGTCTGGGGAATTCCGTCGCGAGAGGGTCCTCTTTTCATATCGGGCTGCATGACCAACGTGTCGAAGGACGATGGTACTTTGCTGATGGGACTTGTCTAGGTACTTTCAATAATTATTTCTTTATATCACGTTAATCTAACAAACTGAGCATTAAGAAGGAGAGGCTCTAGTTAGATGAAAACATGGCTTAATAAGTATAAACGATTCGGCAATTTTAGCTTTAAATAGTGGTCTATGGTTCCATGCGAGGTGCCCCTAAAAATCACAGCCATGGCAACAATAGAGTATTTCTTTTTAATTCACATCACACATCTGTTCTTTTAATCCATCACGGAAGCAAATTTGCAATTGTTGTTTTACAGGCAGATACAAGAACTGGGACCGAGGTGAACCAAACAGCTGGCGTAGAACTAATGAGGACTGTGGGGAATTAAAAACGAGGAATGGGAAATGGAATGATTTGCCCTGTAGCCGCCGTATCCGCTACATTTGCCAAGTCAAACTGCCATATGGCCACTGTAAGTTTTTTTTTCTTCTTGGTTTGGTTTAGTCCGATATCCATAGTAATTCTCTCTTTTTATTTTGAATATTCTGTGAGACCAACAAAGTAATCGTTGTAAAGTCTGGTATGAGCTATATCAGTTTCAGTGTGCCCTTATCAACTTTCCCAGATATCGTTCTTTGTGAGGTTTTAATGCACCAGGCCCTGACTTATCTATTATTTCAAAAGCAAACAATACATTACACTGACTTCCTTGCAGCATGGCTGATATACGTTAGTCAACAATTATACATACATGTACGAGACAACAGGTTACGTTACGCAGATACAATAATTTCTAATTAAACCAGCTGAACAGTTTTAAATGTTCATCTGAAATTTATACAAAATACCATATAAACTAAGTACAGTAACTGTAAATCGAGTAAATCAATCATTAATGCCCTGACTTTAAAATCTATTACGTGCGAAATGGGATATTTCCCATATAACCACTGCCAAAAGATTTGCCTTTTTTGTTTAATGACGATTTTCAAATAAATTTAACGCAAATCTATTATTTTTCAGATTGAGTGCACGTTGTGGATGGATACCACCGGTTTTTCACCCTTAATGAGAAAAGCAGGGAAGGAGAGAGAAACGGATAAACAACTCGGCGATTTTTTTCAAGTAATAAATTACTTTTTTAAACATCCTTTTAAACTCTTTATAGGGTAACAGTAAGGATGATGAAGGTTGGTGATAACATTTATACTTAGATTTATTAATAAAACGAATAAAAACATAAAAGAAATTCCAATCGAACCTGCCCGAAACGCCCAACCAGGGGACTGCAGAAAAGTGGTCACCTTGAATAGGTGGTCTCATTGAAGAGGGTCACCTCACAATATGACTAAAGTTTTAATGAAAAAAGTGTAAAAATCTTTAGATCTGTGGTGAATACACAAAAAAAAAAAACATCGTGCAGCAGTCGAGACAAACTGGCCGGTTTCACTTTGACTTCTCATTAGTTATCATCAATCATCAACACGATCAAAAACGACGCAGTCGCCATGATCCTAACTCACGGCCGCCGAGGTCGTGTTTTCCGGGGATCACCTTGAATAGGTCACTTAATGCTTGCGTCAACTGGGGAAATATTTGGGAACCAGCTTGAACAGGGGGTACTATTGGCAGGTTTGACTGTATGTGAGCCAAACCAAACAAATCAATTATTAGAAATTAATTTACTAAACAAGTATATTAACACAACCCTTACCATCCTAACTGACCTTTTTTTAAAGTTGTGTAATCAAGAACTTTTATATATATCAATGTAACCTACGCTTTGTTATAACCTAACTGCATTAGTTTTAATTTGCTGTATTTAGTAAGACCCGCAAGGAATTTTGAGTTTTTAAGGCTGAGAAAGCGATCTTGCCTGAAAAGATTATGTACTACATGCTAATCGTGAATTATATAACTGGAGGTATAAACGCTAAAATTGGATTCACGTTAAAGATGTTCCCTTTATATAGATTTGATACACTTATTATCACTATTTTATATACATGATTTACAAAATATACATGCAGAATATTAATTGAAACATCAAATTATTTTTAATAATAATTAAAATTATTTCTATGATTATTTTATCTTGAAATGTGTGGATACAGATACACGTGGGGTATGCTTGTAGTTATAAACAAGAGAATTGTTAATCAAGCTACTGTATGGACTTGGAATATATCAATAGTCACAGCTGCACTACATAAGTAAGATTCTGCTTAGTAAAGTGGTTTGATTACACATGTTCCACAAATATTCTGGAGTGCTTTATTAAGCATGTGTGACATTCTTATTTAGAATGACGTAGAGCGGCAGGGTACACCTACCAGCCAGGTTTTTAGATAAGTTTTTGTTGAAAACCACTTGGCCTTGGACATATAGTATTGAACACTGTGATATTCATTTTTTTTTCAAAATATGATACAATGATTCATTGGACAATCAATTGGATTTTAACTTCCCATCCAGTAGCATCAAATGAGTTAGTAGAAAAAGTAGAGCAATAATGAACAACATAACTTTTAAAAAACCGTTAACGCAATATATAAGCCAGGTTAAGGTTTGAACTCTTAAAATATTTTTTTTTCGCTTTTGCAAAAAGCTCATCATTGCTGCACACTTACTCAAGAGTTTTTGTTATTTAGGTTTGTTACCACAACATGTTAATTTTTTATATGCCTATCTCAATATATTTTCATGTCCTCGTCCAATCTCAATGTCATAGTTATGTACAAGCTCAAGGTCATCGTCATGCTTAAGCTCAAGACCATGTTGATGTAAAAGTTCAGGTTTGTATACATGTGTGCTCCTGTTAATTAAACAGTTGAGTTCCTGCCAAACCCACTTTGTCTGCCTGCTTCTTGGTTGTGTATAATATAAACAGGGAACCCGCATAGTACAAAACTGTTTTCGGCATGCATGGCAAAATACAAAAACACTGTCAAGAGGTCCGTATAAACCCTACATTTTTCATTTATTGTTTTCTTTACATTTCACTTAAAGAACAAGTGACTAAAAGCACACGTTAACATCATAAGTTGTAATATATTAATTGAAAGGCATATAAACTGTTATAATGTGCAATTTACTAAAATGTTGTGTTTGTTGTGTAATTTGTGACAGAAACATTAGCGTTAGGCACATTGATTTTATATGTAGACATGTTTGGATTGCATTCCGGGACCTAAGTTATGGAAATATGTAGAGAAGGACATCTAATAATGTTCAATTTTAGATTGAAGGGGAGGGGGGCTTTGGGGGCCCGCGCACACTTTCATCTCGGATAACACCTTAAATTGCTCGAGCTAGAACCGTCAAATTTGGTGACTAAAATATATCTGGCAACGATTTCATATTAATCAGATAAGTTCCTGATTTTGCAAAAGAAATTTCTCACAGTTTCCTATGGATGCGTGATCAACATAATCATATTACATAAGATTTATTAAAAGACATAACGTTTTGAATCCATAGGCAAAATACCATCTACATATAGGTAGGAACCATATATTAAATAACATAAATGCAACAAAGTGTTGCTTTTATAGACTACAAATAATCATAAACAAACACTAAAGTGAGCAAAGAATTGGACCATGCCGTAAATTATATTCATCAGTAAAATGAGCAAATAGTTGCCTTAAATTGCAAACAATATTTGCAAACAATATCTGTGCTCCTTTAAGTCAATAATTACTTCTAGGTATATGAGTTAGCCTTAGCTGATGGCCTATGTTACCTCTTCTGTACACTTCTCTCGACACTTTCACAGCAAGCTGATTCCGCCGAGCTTAAGGATCTAATATGGGAAATATGGAAAAAAAATTGGTAAGAAATGCAGTTCTTCCTTTTTTAAAATTAATAAAATAAAGTAGAATTTGTTTTTACAAAACTGAAACAGAAGTAGAAAATACATTTTAGAGGTAAATATAAAACAAATAAATAATAGATGATAAACGTTAAAGCATTTTAGTAGATGAGATTATTCCATGAACATTTCAAATGTAATTAATCCATAAAGATAATAAAATTCATGATGACTAAAATGTGCAGAAACACAGAGAGAGGGAGAGAGAGAAACAAAGAAAAAGAAATACAATACATCAATTTTTCATGGAGGAAAATAAACAATTACATACATCCAATGCATATCTGGGCCACAATAACGTTCAATATGGGTGTTCCAGCCGGCGTGATAACTAGCTAGCAGTACAGCCTGTGGTTCTATTTGGTTATAGCACGGGCTTCCAATTGTTCCATTGAATAATTCAAACGTGTTTCGCCTTAGCTGAGTGCGCCACTTTTAAAACTTCGAATAGAAAACTCGGAAGTTGGAGCTGATGTTGTTGCATTAAGGCTATAGTGACACCAAATTTTGGTTCATTTCCCATTAAACGTCCTAATTTGTCGGGTGGGTATGACATAAATAAAATACAACACGTTGATTTCACAGTGGCTCGCCGTCTGGCCGATCCAACCTGTGGTCAGGCTAGAACTTCGGGTTATATGGAAAACACAGTGTTGTATTTTATATGTATCTATACGGTTAAACATGTATTAAATACTCACTGCCGATGCATGTAAACGTAGCCTGAAGACACCTGGCTTTGCGAGAACAGCGCTCTCCGAACAAGTCGTCAGACGCCTGAACAGAGCACTTGAGACGACCTTTGCAAGAGTTTTTGACTTTTGATAGACCGCGTGGGCTGTTACAGCCTTTTTGGAATGGTTTACATTTCTCAGAGGCACCACCTGTAATGACGCGCTGTACTTGTACCTCCAGACCAAACTCACAGGTCAAATACGTTGTCTGACCTTTACGAACTTGGGCCGTACGCCGTGTACCTGTGAAATAAAAAAAAAAGTTTGGCTATAATGTTATGTGTGGTTGTGGCACCGTGTCTTGTTGGCAACAAGGTTTTTTGATCACATAGATTTGAATTTTTGAGTGTTTGGATAATGTTTTTGTGTGATTGGAAACCTTGTCAGAGTGCCTATGAAATGCGTGTTTTATAGTGAAATTGTAAAATCTGACTACATACCGTTGTAATCTCTAACAGCATTTAATTTCACACACACACACACACACACAGACACACACACACTCTCTCTTACACACACACATACACACACACATACTCACACACACGCACACGCACCTACTCACACACACATTCACACACACACACACACACACACACACACACACATATACTCACACACATACACACACATACACACACATACACACAAACACACACACACACACATATACTCACAAACACACACACGTTCATTCACACACACATATGCACACACACATGCACAAAGTGTAACTAACCTTTACATGCAGATCTGCCAGCTGCATTCACGGTGTCCCCATAACGACAGACCTTGCACCCTGTAGATCCCGCAGTGCTGGTAAATATTTCGAGAGGACACTCCCTGCATCTCGTTGATCTCGGCCCACTGCTGTACTGTCCAGCAGGACAGGGCGGGCAAACCGCGGAACCTGTCTTGCTGTAATTCCCGGCAGGACAGTCCATGCATTCGTTTGACCCAGCATTGCTGCTGTACTGTCCGGCAGGGCAGGCCTTACAACATGTGGACTCCGCTGTATCGATGTATCGTCCGGCAGGACAGTCCGTACAATTGTTTGACCCGACGCTGCTACTGTACCGTCCGGCAGGACAGGCCTTGCAAGCAGTTGACCCTGTTGCACTGCTGTACTGCCCGGCAGGACAGGCCTTACAACCCGTGGATCCTTCTGTCTCGCTGTATTTACCAGCTGGACAGTCCGTACAGTTGTTTGACCCGGCGCGGTCACTGTACTGTCCGACAGGACAGGCCTTGCAAGCCGTTGACTCTGCTGTATCGCTGTATTGTCCGGCAGGACAGTCCGTACAGTTGCTTGACCCAACGCTGATACTGTACTGCCCAGCAGGACAGGCCTTACAAGCCGATGACTCTACTGTATCGCTGTACTGTCCGGCAGGACAGTCCGTACAGTTGCTTGACCCGGCGCGGTCACTGTACTGCCCGGCAGGACAGGCCTTACAGCCCGTCGATCCTTCCGCCTTGCTGTATTCACCAGCTGGACAGTCGGAACAGCTTTTAGAGCCTGCGCCCGTGCTGTACTTCCCGGCTGGACACTTCTGACAGCACACCGCTCCCGGAGCGCTGCTAAACTCCCCTGCTGCACACGGCACGCACATTGTGCTGTTGTTGTCACTGGCCGTTCCCGCTGGGCAGATGTCTACAGGGGGAAAATGCAAATGACTGACCGTGACCCCAAATAGAACATGCGTCTGGTTCAAATGACGTCAATAATAACATGATTGGGCATGGTTTGGGTTATATAAAAAGTTTTTGGTAACCAACATTAGCCTCTACCAGGCTTGAGGGCG